CCCCCCCCCCCCCCCCCGTGGAGAATGATGGCTCTCCCACTGCCACTGCTGAACTGGAGAAAAGTTAGGTTTGAGTGCAAAATGCTGAGCAAAAATAAAGCTCTTGCCAGGGACCAGATTGTAACAGAACCCTCGATCTACTGGCCAGCATTTCGACAGGATGTTAAACAAAACCACAAGTACAGAGGCAGGTCCATGGGAACATGGAGGAATTGCCAATCTTTGATGGCTTACTTGTTTTACAGACAGACAGGGCTTGGCTAGATGCCGCTTCATAGCAAAAGCTAGCTTCATATTTATCTCTCCGCTGTCAGACCAACACACTAACTTAAACATTCTCTGTGCCAAGCACACTGACAGCTTCTTCAGTGCTTATCTTAACAGTGATGCTCTAGGAAGAGAACCATCTTTTTAAAAAATTAATAACCTTCATGCCCATTATCTGACTAATAAAGATTATTAGATAGAACCAAGGTCTTTTTTCTCTTTTTTTTATTTCGAGAAAACGAAGGAACCTGGGAATCTGTGTCTAGTACTGTCAGTTAAGCTACTATTCAGTTAATCATCTTAATGAAGCACATTCTTTGCTCTGATTAGTGAAGGGAAAAATCAGTCATTAAGCTTTATTAGGCAAGCCATTTGTCACCACAGCTACCTAGACAGTTTTAAACATGGTAGCCATCACGCTTAAACACTTCTAGATTTCTTTTTTAAAGGAGTTTGCTTCATGAAATAATAATTCAAACACACAACAAGATGGACACTGATGAGGACGAGCAATTTGTTCAATCATTAATTCTTCCCTTTTAACCTCCAGATAGCAAACAAGCCTAGCAAAATTTGGCTTGACAATTAGTATTTAATTAATCCGCTTTTTGCAGTTTCCACTGTATTAGCAGCTCCCCAAAGAGAGAAAATATGAGACAGTAAAAAGCCAAAATATGAGGGGCTTTTGAGGAGGGGTTCTGAAGGGAACAATCCAAAAGTCCAAAGCAAGGTGAGGTCAATTAACAGAGCTGTTAATTCACTAACTTCTGTTGACACTCTTGAACTCCAAGAGTTCTAGAAGGCACTAGGATGGGGAGAATTACACTGGTATAAGTAGCTCAATCAACTTCAGAGAACAAGTGTTAATTCAAAAAAAAATTTATATTCAGCATAAAATTGGTTTCAGTTCCTCCCAGGATAAACTTTTTTTTGCTTGCACCCAAGCTTAAATAACATCATGCTCTCTGAAGCCTTGTTCGTATTTTTCACTTTGACCGCCATGTTCCTTCCCCAGCTGAAGACTAAAAGTATACAATTCCCTTCTCCCACTTTCCTCTAATTCTCCCCAAAGTTGTCTCCGCAATTTATCTAGATCAAGTTCTTCATTAAAAGACAACATTCAGAAACCAAGTTGACATTAAGTTTACTAAGTTCATTCTTGCTTTAAAAAAAACCAACAACTCCCCAAACTTTGCCTCCAGAAACCTTACCGGCAAAATCCTATTACATAAAGCTACACCACTGTAAACTGGAACTGGCACATGAAAAAAGAGAGAGATCTGTCTCGTCTATCACGGTGTTCACACAATGGACAAGCGGAGACAATTCTTTGCTGGCATGCAGGGGAGTCCTGAGGCAGTGACTATCATTTTACCATATTGCAAATGAGAGCAAGCAGGTTTAGAAACAAGGGCCTTGCTTCAAGGGGCTTCTAGAACATTCATACCAATCAAGTGCACATTTAATCTTCTCAGTGGCATGGGACAGGCAAAAGGAAGGAAATGCAACTGAAAGCAGAAGGAAATCCACAGAAGGAACTGTGTAAGCCTGTTTGCTGCAAACACAGCAAAGATTCTTGGAACACCTTAAAGATTAAAGACATGTTTATTATGGGAAGAGCCGACCTCAGCAGGCAGAGGCGCAAAATGAGTTTCATTACAGCAGTTTGCATTATAGACAGGATGACAAAGAAGACATGAGGAAAATAAAGACTGAGCCCACAGAAACAAAAGGCCCCAAAGACAAGACGGAGGAATTGCTCCGATGCAGACATCTGCTTGTCCCCCCCCCCAATAGCAACAGCTGCAGTTGCTTAGAAGCTGCCAACCAGCTTGGAGGCAGGAGGAGGCAGAACTCCAATAAGGAAGTCCTGAGAGCTTCCTACTAGCAAACAACCTCAGGACAGTCATCCATCATAAGCTGCTTCCATGTCTATCTATTGCATCTCTGCCTTGAAAGCGCATGATGGTTTCCACCGCCCCAGGAAGACGGGTTCAGATGAAGTGGAAACAGAGACACAATGGAGGTCAGCTCTCCTAGACTGTATCCCATCACTCTGTGGCTAATGTGTCAATCAAAGGAGGAGGCAGCGAGAGAAAAGGAAAGCGAAGCTCTACAAAGGCTCAACTTGAACTTTGCATGCTATTAAGAGGCTCCTTGCTGTACCGTAGAAAGCTTAAAACACACACACCAGTGTGATAAAATGGAAGCAAGAGCAGCGTCAACCAACAACTGGAGACGGAGAGCGGCAGACACTCAAAAAGAGGTTCAGTTGTCTTCATCTGCCTTTAGGATATTTTGAGAAAAGGGAAAAAGGAGGGAGCAGTTCTAAATCTTAGGTTTTTTTACACCGCTAAGAAACTGATTTCTAAAAGCAAAAAAATTAAGTAATGCTCCCCTTTTTATTAATGCAAGACATGATCTACAGGGCATTTCCCTGCTTTTGCATCGTTCCCATTCTTTTCACTGGGAATTCCACTGAAAAAGCATTCTGGGGAACTCTTAAAGCTTGTCTAGTTTCTATGTTTTCCAGGGAGCGAGTAAAGGCATCATCCAGAATCTTGCCTCAGATCATAGTGCAGCCTTGGAACTGTCCAACGTGCTGCAGTTTATATACAAGTAACCCTGATACTTGTTAAGTCGACAGACAGATGACTGCAGCTCAGTTGGGGAAGGTCCCTGCTCAGCTGTTATGCAGAAGGCCTCGCAGAAGATAAATGTGTACATAGACCTAGCATTGCAAGGAATGGTTTAAAAATGTCTGAATAAGTAAAATAACTTAAGTCAGTCAATAAATCCCTGGCATCCCCACATAGAGGCAGGAGAAATTTGTGTGTGAAAACCTGGAGAGCCACTGGAAAGCCCCTGCCAGCCTGAGGAGACAATAATGAACGATATGGACCCATTATTTGATCTAGTAGAAGGCATCTCCTTGTTTCAAGCTGCATGTTTCCATGTAAGGCATACTGTATGCACTTCTGTTTTGGTGAGATGATAGTTTACAGGTGATAGTTGAGAAATGCGTTTGTACGCCACTGAACACAGGATTACAACAACATTTAGAATGATTGGTTTTATTTTTATTAAAAATCCTTGACATGTTAATGTTTCATGAATTATATTTATTCAGGTTTCTAGGCTTCCCATTTCATCCCAGGCTAGAGATTAAATAGTAATAATGAAACATAAATGCCGGACAACATACAACGCAGAGCATAATTCAGAATCTTGTTCTGCCATGCTGACAACATTCATCTACTGAGCTAAACATTTGGCAATGATTCCAAAATATGAATGGCTTTATGAAGACAAATAAATTAGAATTCCTAAACATTTTCGAGATGGTCTGTCTGCACAG